TTATATGAAAATATATATCGTTTCCTCATATATATATATATATATATATATATATATATATATATATATATATATATATACTTTTGTATTGAGCACTTTTAAGTTAGTTGATTACTCGTATCGGGGTTTTTCTTTGGGCTTTGAGCTGTATGCTGTAGGATTATTTTCGACAGACGTTCATGTTCATAGCTCTTTCTTTTTTTAAAACCCTTTTTTCCTTCGAAATTGATTTGACCATTAGCAAATCAAGAAACCGAAGGTTTTCCGAGACGAGTGTAGTCGATATATATATATATATATATATACCTATATATATATATATATATATATATATATATGATAGAAGAAGGAATAAATAGGAAACTTTTAAAAATTTAACATATATCGAATCAATTGGTACGTTTACTGCTAGGAATGTTGTTCCACTGTGACGTGACAAAAAAAAAAAAAACTTTCTTGTCAGATTCCATTTTGCACTTTTATAAATCTACCATTCTCCCGTGCATTGAATATCTGGCCTGGTTACGCCTGCTCTGTATGTTAAGGTTCCTGACAAAATCCAAAGAAGGGTCAGTCATGTCATCGATCTTGAACAGACATCTCGACTTCAGTCACATTTTGAACAACGTCACATGACGTGGGTTCTCGCGGTCTTTTTTACAAATATTTTTATGACAATTGTTCTGGCGAGCATTTTTTCCCTGGTGTCCCAACTCCAGGATTGGAAAACTAGGACTTCAACCATTGCTTCTATTTTAACTGTTTCATTTCTCCCACTTGTCCCCTCTGGAGCACCCTTCTCATATTTTATTTCCTGCAGCCTATTCAGTTTTAGAATTTTAATAAATCCCAGACATATGAAATTCGAGAACTGGCAACAAAAATGTTAAATTACTTTTTATTTATTAGATTGTTTATTAATAATAATTTGTTTTTTACGTGATTATAAAAAAAAAAACAACATATCAACCTCTACGATGTCCTAAATATTATTTACCATATTACAAAGAAATAACTATGAAAATCAATATTTGTATTCATAAATTTATAAAAAAATATATGTGAACGATAGCACTAGACAATTTATATAAACGCATGACGAGTCACTGTAATTATAAAGTTTGAAAAATGTTTTCTCTGGCCATTTCATTTATTATCGACCCTGAGTACCGCATTGCCAATAAAACATCTAACATTTTATACGATGTGCTATAATACTATTTATGAGTTTTTAAGATTTTTTTTTAATATAAATACTAATATATCTCCTGCAAAGCCCAGTAAAAATAAAATTAATTATATACTATGCTAAATTCAATACTACTGACATAATAATTATATACTATGCTAAATTCAATACTACTGACATAATAATTATATACTATGCTAAATTCAATACTACTGACATAATAATTCCTCCCCACCAATTAAATTATTGCAAAAAAAAAAAAACAAGAAAACAAAAAAATAAAATCAATATTATTTATCAATTTTTGGATTGGCGTTTGCTTTTAACTATTTTGGTTGTTTTTAGTATATTTTTCATTTTATCCTTCTTGTTACGTAGGTTTAGATCTTTTGTAACAAGAATGACAAAATGAAAAATATAGTAAAAAAAAAAAAACAACCAAAATAGTTAAAAGCAAACGCCGATCAAAAAAGATAAGAAGGAAAACTACTTTTCTTTGCCAAGAAAAACTTTCTCTGATCAATCGTAATTGTTTTTTTTTACCCTTCAAGCAGAAGAATACACCCGTGTAAAAAAAAAAAAAAAAAAAAAAGGAAAATAAAGTATAATATATATATATTATAATATAAAAATTATAACCAAAAACTTTTGGGGTTTCTCTCTTCTTTTTAAAATATACCATTTTCTCTTATTGGAACAACTATATAATAATCGACTCTCCCGTCGAATTCGACGTATCAGGGTCAAGCAGATCAGTTCCTAGGAAACCGACAGCCCAACACCAGCACGTGAGATTTGATTATAGTGGAAAGGATTTTTGCAGAACCAACCACACTTTTTGAAGAGCCGAATACAGAGACATGTTGCACTACAAGTTTTGAATTCAGAGTTGTCCTTCTCCTAGACCACTTGCCATCCAAGGCTATAGTACCCAGCCTGTCCTGCTATTTACCCATAGAGGATCCATACCTTTCCTAAAGGTATTAGCACGAACGTGAATGTAATGGATTCAACTGGAATTTGAACTCGGCTCTCTGATTCCTCAATTCAAGCCACTATCCATTATCCACTATGCCTTATATATATATATATATATATATATATATATATATATATATATATATATATATATATATATATATATATATATATATATATATATATATATATATATATATATATATATAAGGATATATATATATAATTAAACAATACATATATATATATTTAAACAATACATATATTTTTGTTATAAATCTTATTTTTAGAGGCTAGACGCGTTGAGTTATTGTCCCTGTTCTGTTTTATTTTATTAAACAGCGAAATTAATAACAACTGACCTAAATGGAGAAGTCCTACAAAGAAAAACATTGTGCCTCGACGTGGAATCGAACATGCATCCCATTTTTTCATCAAGATCTATAGTAATGTCTTACTTTTCAAATACGGCCAGCACATTGTGTCTGTGTTCACAGTTGATGTGTGTTAGCTTTTTTTTTTGTTAAATAAAACATTCGATAATTCTAGAAAGATCATAATCCCCGGAGATTGTGAACAATTCAATGCCTTGTATAGGTAGTTTCCTATTTCTCTGATCGAAGCATGTATTTATCGGACAGCAATAGACAGGCTGAATCAATCCATGCATTTAGTTAACTAAAATAAAATTCATCCTTGAAAATGGCTAAAATTATAGCCGAAAGCTCTCTGAGATATTCGGATAATTACTATATAAAGAAATGAAGAGAATTATAAGAACACCAGGAAAATTAAATAAAAAACCGCAGTACCTTGTCAGTCGTTTTTAATGAAACTTGTATAAAAGAGGGACTACTGCCCAAATACACAATTATTAAATGTGCGTGTGTGTGTGTGTAGTTTGGCCCCAATTAAAATGTAGAATTGAAGGGAGCTTTGTTATCTCACAGGGATATTTAATCTAATGTGCTAGGCTAAATCACACATAAATATAAAAAACATCTATAAAGGGAAAATAATGTCCTTTTTGTCACTTAATCACCTGTTAGGAATGTGTGGCACCTGGTTTTTAATTAAATAATAGAAAAATTGAACATTTCTCAAGGCTGACTAGGGATTAAAGATGTTAGGTAACATTACTTTCGCTTCTTTTCGCTCGTCATCCTTCTTTCGCTTGGCAAAAGAAGAAAGTATTGATAATATTGGATTAAAAAGATTGTAATCCCCGGAGATTGTGAACAATTCAATGCCTTATTTAGGTATTTTCTTATTTCTCTGATCGAAGCATGTATTTATCGGACAACAATAGACAGGTTGAATGGAAGATAATGATTGAATGGATTCCGAAAAATAGGAGTGAACAAAAGAAGAAGAAGAAGAAGAGGAAAATGAGAAGGATGAGGAGAGAAGAAGAAGAAGGAGAGGAAAATGAGAGGGAGGAGGAGAGAAGAAGAAGAAGAAGAAGAAGAAGAAGAAGAAGAAGAAGGAGAGGAAAATGAGAAGGATGAGGAGAGAAGAAGGTGAAGGAGGAGTGGAAAATGAGAGGGAGGAGGAGAGAAGAAAAGGAGGAGGAGAGGAAAATGAGAAGGATGAGGAGAGAAGAAGAAGAAGAAGAAGAAGAAGAAGAAGAAGAAGAAGAAGAAGAAGATGGAAAGGAAAATGAGAAGAATGAGGAGAGAAGAAGAAGTAGAAGGAGAGAAAAATGAGAAGAATGAGAAGAAGAAGAAGAAGAAGAAGAAGAAGAAGAAGAAGAAGTCTTTAGAATGGAAAAGGAAGGAGAAATAATTTGACAAAGATGTGAGAAAGAAAGACAGCAGAAAGATAGATAGGTTTACCTATGGTACGGTTCACGCTCCTCCCCTTTCTTTTTTTTTTAAGAGATCCATTGTTTCCCGTTTAGGATTGGAGTTCCAGTTCCCATTCTTATTCACTTACCAGTTGCCTCTTGCATCTTAGTGGCATTATCGCCTTGATTGGGGTGAATTGATTAAAAAGGGAAGATGGAAAAATGAGGTGGAAAATGAAAATGCTTAGAAAAGGAAGAAGAAAGGAAAATGAAAGAGAAAATGAAGGAGAAACAGATAAGGAGAATGATTCGAAGAAGAAAGAAAAAATGAAGAAAAGAAGAAAATGAAGAAAAAGAATCGCTATGAAGAAGATGAATCGGATTGAGAAGGAGTTAAAGGAAAAATAGAAGAAGGTTGCCTAAATCAGAAGGATAAATAATTAAAAAAAAATAATTCAAATTTTCTTGTCGGCCGTATACAATGAAAGATATATATATATATATATATATTAAAATAATCAGAAAGAACTGTAAAATTTATAATCTGGTGTTCTTAGTATTTTTATTTTTAAAAACAGTGCTCGATACAATTTAGTAGAGCGTAAACATTATAAATGTACTAATCTAAAAATAGGGTTCCATCGCTACACAGCAATTACCATTTTTCAAAAACAGAAATTAAACCTTAAATTTTATTATAGAATTAAATTTAAAATCTTTCTGGAATAACTTATTTTGAAATATCAAGATTGTATGTGCTTATAAACACAGTAAAATTCAAAACAAGTTATTCCAGAAATCGCTTGAAAATTAATCGGAGATAGCGATTATAAATTTAATTCTATATTTAAATTTAATTATATTTTAATTTAAGTGCCACGTGGAACTAGAATAATCTACCTCGGTAACGAAATAATAGGTTCGGTTCGAAATTCCAATCACCTGAAGAAGGCCGGGGCGTACAACGGCCGAAACGTTGTGAATATGACAATGAAGATGATGACAGTCCGAATAATGTAAATGATATAAGTAATCATAATACCTCATTTCAGAGATATAGACAGAAGTTAAAACTAATGTTAATATAAATATTAGAAGTTTCATTATAAGTAAATATCTGTCATTCATTGATCAAGCAGATAGTGCTACCACAAAATCGCTCTAATAAAAATATTTTCCAAAAAATGTTTTTCAAGTTCAGTAACTATTATAGCTCTTTACACTATTGAGGACGTTTTTCTTCTTAAGCTTTTCTTTAAGGTAGTGTGCAACGGCAATATTTTGATTATGTTATTATTTTCTCTGATTTGTATATTAGTTTTTGCGGTTGTCGAAAGTTCTCAAGCGATGTGGTGTCTGTCAGTTGGTACAGTTCTTTGCTTGAGATTCTGTTGCGTCAGTTTGAAAGAGAAGCCATTTTTAAACATTGAACTGAAAAGGTGTATGTATACTTCTGACGGCTTAGATATTTCTGAACGTGTTTAGAGACATGAAGGCCATCCATATGAAAGTCAGAATCTGACGCGTTTATTTATGTACACGGCCCGAGTTTTTTAGGTTAAGGTTTTGATTTTATTGTTGCAGGTTTCATTTGTAAGGTCTGTAATATTGTCAATGCCGAAGTCATCTAAGGCGGTCAATTCTGTCTGGTCCTGTTGCTTTGTTTCGGTTCATTTTAGCCAGTGTTGATTTCTGAGCATAATTATCGCAGTGTCTTTAACAAGCCTGAACTCTTCCGGTGAGGTTTCGCTGTGCGATCTATTCATTAGAATACGGATGATGTTTTGTTATATGACACATTCGGCTGAGATATCCCATAAAGTTCACATTGATTTGCACCTGGCTTCTTAGGCAGTGCTATGAAAATAAATCTACTTAGGTCTTCCGGTATCTCGCCGCTGTTGTATATTTCATTTATTATTTCTCTAATCTTCTCGATGCTGAAAACATCTAAAGTTGTCAGAATCACTATAAAAAATTATGTCTGCTCCCGCTGATTTGTTTCTGTTCATTTTAGTTAGTGCTGATTTCACTTCAGATTTTAGTATTTCCGGTCCTTCAACATTTCTGTGTGATGCCAATTGTTCTCTTTCGTTGTGCAAGAGTTATTCGATATATTCGTTCCATCTTTGAACTTTGTTTCACCATTTCACCCCAAGCAAAGCGGGAATGCCACTTGTACGCGGGCGGGGTTGGGGTTCTTACAGACAGTGAAAGTGAGAGAAAAGACTGAGTATAGGAGGAATGAGGAAAGGATGAAAAATAAAAGGGGTTCAAGACGACAGAAGATGGCGGTTAACGTTGCATTTAAATTGTTGAAGATTGTATATTTCGAGGAAGCAAGTAAACGGAAAGGGGTTCCACTATCTAGAAGTGCGAATCTGTTCGAATAGAATTGGCGGTTACATTTAACTATTTCAATAGTAAAAACGTTGGACCTAAATGGCAATCTAATAACCCGCTTAAACTAATGTAGTCGAGCAGCAGGGGAAATGCTCGTCAGAGCAATTGCCATAAAAATATTTGTAGAAAAAACAGAGGGAAACCAGGTCACGTTGGTGAGAAAGACTGAAATCGAAATTTCAAGTCAGGATCGATTACATTGCAGACCCTTCTTTCGATTTTGTCAAGAACTTTCAAATGAATAGGAGCAGCATCAGACCAGATATGGCAGCAGTATTCAATGCAACGTGTTTTTCTGTCTCGAATATCACGGTGGAGTAATGGATAGCGGTTCGGATTGAGGAGTCGGAGAGCCGAGTTCGAATCCATTCACTTACGTGTTAATACCCTCGGGGAAAGGTATGAATTCCTTTTTTTTTCTCCCTCACCCTCCAGCTATGGGTAAACAGCAGGACTGACCGGGTTCTATAGATTTGGGTGGCAACTGGTCTATCGCAGAAAGAAATGGCAACCTACTGCGGAAAAAAAAATCTGCCTCGTCAGTCATGTATCGAAAGATACATGATCATCTAAGCGTCTATCGCGCTTGGCACATAACTAACTTAAATTCACGTATGTGTTAATACCCTTGGAAATGGTATGACTCCTCTTCTTCTCCCCCCCCTCACAGTTATGGGTAAATAGCAGGACAGACCGGGTTCTATAGCCCTGGATGGCAACTGGTCTATCTCAGAGGGAAATGGCAACATATTGCGGAAAAAATCTGCCTCGTCAGTCATGTATTGAAAGATACATGATCACCTAAGCGTTTATCACCCATAGCACATAACTGACTTAAATTCACTTACGTGTTAATATCCTTGGAAAGGTAAGACCCTCTTCTTCCGCCAGCTATTCGTAAATAGCAGGACAGACCGGGTTCTATAGCCCTGATGGCAACTGGTCTATCTCAGAGGGAAATGGCAACCTATTGCGGAAAAAATCTGCCTCGTCAGTCATGTATTGAAAGATACATGATCACCTAAGCGTTTATCACCCATAGCACATAACTGACTTAAATTCACTTACGTGTTAATATCCTTGGGAAAGGTAAGACCCCTCTTCTTCCGCCAGCTATTCGTAAATAGCAGGATAGACTGGGTTCTATAGCCTCGGATGGCAACTGGTCTACCGCAGAGAGAAATGGCAACCTATTGCGGAAAAAATCTGCCTCGTCAGTCATGTATTGAAAGATACATGATCACCTGGTTTATCACCCATAGCACATAACTGACTTAAATTCACTTACGTTTTAATATCCTTGGGAAAGGTAAGACCCCTCTTCTTCCGCCAGCTATTCGTAAATAGCAGGATAGACTGGGTTGTATAACCTTGGATGACAACTGGTCTACCACAGAAAGAAATGGCTACCTACTGCGGAAAAAAAAACTGCCTCCTCAGTCATGTATCGAAATATAGATGATTACCTAAGCGTGTATCACACATGACACTTAACTGACTGACTGAATATCAGCATTACGTCCTTGTATTTTATGCATCCTTTTGATGAGCATGTCTTTTGTCCTATTCTCTTATTTTTTTATGCATTTTATTTGAGATACCCATTATTTCTATGAGAGCAAATCTTTCGTTGAGTCATTCCATTTTAGCTTGCCTGCATTTGTTCCATTCTGCAATGTTAGGCGAAATTACGCACCTGGCTTCTGTACAATAACGAGAGTACGGAGAGTAGGGATATAATAGTGGAAATAAAATATTATAAAAATAATGCCAGCTACAATAATTGGAACTGAAAATGATAACAGAATTCATTATAATCGTTATTCTTCTTTATTGCAAGGTGTTGAATGTGCGATTTTCCACGATAATGTGAATTCAGAGTAAACATGAAAAAATGTGTTAGGACACAGATATTATCTATAAAAATCAACATTTTTTTCTTTCCTTCGTTTATTTCTTTCTTTATTTATTTCTTTGTGATTTTCTTAATTTCTTTTTTTTCTTTTTTCTTTTTTTTTTTTTTTTTCAACGTGAGCATCGCAACACTGAATTAAGATTAATTTCTTATGGATGAATTTTGAAAGAAATCGATTTTTTAAGTACGAAATCTTTTAAAAATCGCTTCGATATTTTTTCATCGAATTAAAAAATATGATAAGTAAAAATGTGTTATGACATAAATATTATCAATGGAAATCAATATTTTTTTTCTTTCCTTTGTTCATTACTTTCTTTTTTTTTCTCATTCTTTTCCTCTTTCTTTCTGTGTTTCTTTCTTTGTTTCATCTTTCTTTTTCTTTCTTTCTATCTTTGATTCTTTCCCTCTTTCTTTCTTTCTTTCTTTCTTTCTTTCTTTCTTTCTTTCTTTCTTTGAGTCTTTCCCTATTTCTTTCTTTCTTTATATATTTGATTAATCTTTCGTTTTTTTCTTGATTTCTTTCTTTGATTCTTTCTTTCTTTTCGTCTTTCTTTCTACATTTCTTTCTTTTATTCATCTTTTATTTTTCTTCCTTTTTCTTTCATTTTTTCTTTGATTCTTTCTTTCTTCGTTTCTTTCTTTCTTTCGTTCTTTCTTTCTTAAGTAATTTTTTCTTTCTTTGATTTTCCGCTCTTTGTTTCTTTCTTTCTTTCTTTCTTTCTTTCTTTCTTTCTTTCTTTCTTTCTTTCTTTCTTTTTCAACGCGGTTATCGCAACTCTGAATTAAGATTAATTTCCCAGGGACGAATTTTGAAAGAAATCGATTTTTTTTTAAGTACAAATCTTTTAAAATTTCTTGGATATTTTTTAATTGAATTTTTTTAAAAAATGCCAAATAAAAATGTGTTATGACGTAAATATTATCAATGGAATTTAACATTTGTTTCTTTCCTTCTTTCTTTCTTTCTTTCTTTCTTTCTTTTTTCCACGGAGGTATCGCAACTAGGAATTAAGAATTAATTCCCCAGGGACGAATTTTGTAATAATCAATAATTTTTTTAAATGCAAAATTGTTTAGATATTTTTCTCATCCTCATTTTTACAGGTATATAAAAAATGATTAGATTTTTTTAGGGGTGTGTCTGGTGGGGGGTGAATATTGATAATAAGCAATTGTATTGTCCTGTTTTATTTATTTATTTACTTCCGATTATGGAACGTAATCTGCTTTTATTTAAAGAAGAAATTACTTATATCCAGAGTTCATGTTCACAAGAAAAAAAAAAAAAAAAAGAAAAGAAAGGAAGACGTTTCTTAATATTTTGATTAGGATTATCTATATTTCATTTTTAATACAATGGTTAATTTTCCACTTTCCAATTCTTAGACTAGTGTGAGAAAATGGCCAATTTGGAATTGCTTTAAAAACATGCGTGGTATATTTTTTCCGCTTAGAATTGTTTGAAAGAATATGTTCATTATTTACAGGATCGACACTTGTACGATTGCCCTCATTTGTGTTATTGTTCTCACAACGTTTCGGCCATCATCAAGTGCTTCTCAATACGAACCATTAATTTAATCTACGGGGGGGGATTGTTCTCGTTCCGCTGTCAGTCAATCAGTTATGTGTCATGCGTGATACACGCTTAGACGAACATGTATGTTATCAGTTATCAGTTATCTCCTGTTAATTCCCCTCTCAAAGTTCTCCACTGCCTTAACCG